CATTTGTTTGCACAATTAGTGAAGTGAACTGAATAGTACTATTAAACCTAAGGTTCATTAAATAAATTAACTGTACTATTTTTTTAAACAAAGATCACAACCAAATACTTATAAAAGATACTTACCACAACTGAAAAATGAAAGAGAGAATGAAACTGAATGAAACAGAACAGTTAGAAAGAGAATGAGAAAAACATAATTAATACTCCAAATGATATAAATAGAATAGTTACATAGGGGAACTAAATTAAACAAAATAAAGATAGGTTTCCGAAAATTAGTACATGAAAATTGATTTTAGAAACTCATTTAGAAACCCATTATAATAATTGCGTTGGTTCATTTATCATTTTCATATTTTTGAAATCAAAACCATTTAGAAACACATTTAAATCTAACCCATTTTAAAAAATCATTACATGAAGATAGGTTTCTAAAATCTAAACCATTTCAAAAAATCATTACATGAAATTCACGGCTTTTCCTCACCTCATACCCAACACCACCTTTGCCTCAAACCAATTAATTGACCTGCCTACTAAAAAAAAGAAAAGAAAAAGGGATTAGTTAGTTTGTATGCTTTGTAGGTGATTGATAACATGCTAGTTATTAAGTGAGGATAGAGAAAAGTGAAAAAATAAAACTGTATTATAAACACGGCTAATAAAACTTAAGAATATAAAACTTTATTGATAGTTTGTAGTGAACACCAGCAAACACGCCTACTGATATGAAGATTTCAACCAAATTGCCACTCACACCTTGAAACACATCACAAATCAGTAGAAAACACCAGCACCCAGAAACAGCCAACACCAGCAAACACGATAGAGATTGGCGACAGAGAACAAAAATCTAATAGACAGTGGGGCTTATCTAAATACAGAGAAAGCAATTTTGGCAGGAAACCATAAATTATATACACACAAAAAAAAAACATGAAATTGCTTTATGTGTGGTTTGTACTGATTACACTTCTCAAAGTAGTTTGTAGTGATTACACTTTTCAAACATTTATTATAATACAATGTAATAAATAATAACAACTCTCAAAGTGGTACCTTCCATTCACATAATTAAAAGGACTAAACAAATTAAATATGTGTTATATGAGCCCAATTTAAATTGATTCTAAATTATGGCTTTTGAATCAAATTTCCACCCATAACTAAAATGCCCCAAATATATGCAAAACTAAACCCAATAAGTTTTACCTCAAGTCATGATTTTAATATCAAATCTCAACACTGTTCAATTTGTAAATTTTCAGAAAATAATTATTCATGCATAAAAACTTCATAAAATTTTCGTAAGTAAGGTCTTCAACTCAAGAGACACAAATTTCACCCTGAACATATGTGACAAAAAAAGAACTATTTTTTTTTCAATTATCATAAACCCATTTACAAATAATCTTTTAATATAAAGCAAATATCACTAATCACGTAGTGCAACAACTATTCAATTAAATTATGTAATGATTATTAAAAAAAATTCGAGTCATTACACTTTTTCTTCTTCTTCTTCTTTATAATTTTCTGGCACTTCTAACCTCTAAACCCACAAAACCAAATCTTTATGAACCCCTATTGAACTTTCAAGCTTGGTATGGTGTCTTCTTTTTACTTCTAAAAGTTATTTGGTTGTAGCTCAAGGCAGGGGTTTTGGGGGACAAATTTGAGGGCACTGATTCTACTCTTTTTTTGAGGGCACAAATTTATGGGATAGTTTGTTATGTTTTCTCTTCTTTTTTTTTTTGGTTTCTGAACCTTTTTAGGGGATTCCATTTGATTACGATCTGTAATGAACAAAACTTTAATAAACATCAAACCCAATAAACATCAAACCCAAAACATGTTGGTATGGTGTCTTCTTTTTACTTCTATAAGTTATTTGGTTGTAGCTCAACGCAGGGGTTTTAGGGGACAAATTTGAGGGCACTGATTCTACTCTTTTTTTGAGGGCACAAATTTATGGGATAGTTTGTTATGTTTCCTCTTCTTCTTTTTTTGGTTTCTGAACCTTTTTAGGGGATTCCATTTGATTACGATCTGTAATGAACAAAACTTTAATAAACATTAAACCCAATATCAAACCCAAATCAGAATCTTCGTGACTTTAATAAACATCAAACCCAATAAACATCAAACCCAAAACATGAAATTATTTAATAAACAAAACTTTAATTACGATCTGTAATGAAAGAGAAGAAGAGAGAGAGAATGGTACAAAATATCAAACCCAAATCAGAATCTTCATAAGTTGATGCAGAAACTGTAATGAAGGATTCCATTATCTTCAAAATATCAAACCCAATTATTTAATAAACAAAACTTTATACAGGGGCCATTATAGACATAACAGGAACATACTGTCAAAACATACTGTTTATGATGCAGAATCTTCATAAACAGGGGCCTTCTTGTCGGGAATGGCGGGGTAGGGCGTCGGCGTCGGCGTCGGCGGGGCGGGACGACGATGCCCTCCTCTTTCTGAATCGAAGACAGGAATGGGTAGGTGGAGATGAAGGGAGGAAGAAGGAGGGTTCAAGTTTGGGTTCGACGATGCAAAACAAAGGCCTAAAATGGGGAAGGGGGATGAAGGAGCGGGAGATGAAGGGTGGAAGACAGGAATAGAGGGTTCGAGTTTGGGTCTCCGGCGAGGGAGAGGAGAGGTGGTCGGTGGAGAGGCAGAGAGAGATGTATCTGTGAAAGAGATTCAAGAACAGAGAGGGAGAGGGAGAGAGATAGAAAGGGAAGGTGGGGAGGCAGACATGGGTAGGTGGAGAGGAGTGTATTTTGATGTGAGCCATTGATATAAATTTGAAATTAATCTCAACCATTCAATC